CTTCTGTTCCCAGAGGCAGGGCGGTTGGTGGGGGCCTGCTCAAAGGGGCCCCTTCCATTTCCCCCGATTGACTGAATAACTTGGCGTGAACAGATCCGGGAAGAGGACCGAAGCCCCCCGCTGACCTCCCCGCCTTTGCCCTTCTCCATCATTCCTGGGGGCTTCATCAAGCAGCTCGTGCGGCAGAACGAGAAGGAGTCCAAGGCCCTGAGGCTGAGAGAGGACGTCGCCTCAGACCCCCAGGAAGAGGTGAGTGGCCGGGGAGTGCCATCCCCCCTCGGGGTCCCCTCTGGAGAGGCGGCTCGCGTCCTGGTTGGGCGCAGGAGCAGAGCCGGCCCGGATGGGAGCCTGCCGTGTGCCAGTGGCCCTGGAGGCCCCTCCCCCATTCTCAGAATCCTCGGGGGAGGGTCCGCCTTTGCCCCCAGGGAGAAATCTCTGCCCCCTTTGTGCCCTTCGGTCCCCTGGCAAAAGTTCCAACCGGCTTTTCTTTGCTTCCAGCCTCTCAGCAAGCCGGTTGCGATCAAGGAGGCCGACCTCTTGGAAGTGGGGGGTGGCATGGCCAGCAGCAAGGGGCAGCTGAACGGGGAGAAGCCGGCAGGGGACGGGAGGGTGGCGCTCCCGGAGAAGAAGACCCTGCCCTTCCGGATAGGCCCCCCAAGAAGGAACGCCAAGCTCTTTGGGCCGGATCCGGGCCCGGCTGCTCCTCCCAAGGCCGAAGAGAAGGTGCCCCTGGCCGGAGGCCCCAAAGCGTCCACTGCAGAGGCGAGCCAGGGCCCGCTGGACACGGCAGCCGCGCAGGGCAAGCGCAGTGAGAGCCCCAGGAAGGAGGCGGCGGCCCAAGGAAGGGCCAAAGCAGGCGGGGGGGCCAAAGGGACGGGGAAGAGGAAAGAGGCGGACGGAGAGGAGCTGGGAGAGAAGGGGGAGCGGAAGGGGGAAGAAAGCGCAGGGAGGGCAGGAGACGAGGCCAAAGCCAAGGAGGGGCCAGGAGAGGCCTTGGCAGCTGCCCGGAGGGGGCCTGGAGGAGCCCAGCAAGCCGAAGCCTCTGGAGCAGCGGCCGAGATAAAGGGGAAATGCCCGGAAGGAGCAGCGAAAGAAGAAGGACGAGGGGCTCCGGAGGAGGGTCCCGACTCCAGCAAGGTGAGCGGGGAGCTGCCTGGCCTCCAGGGCCTGCGCTTGAATGCTCGGGGGCCTTCTCCCCACCTCTGGCCCCCCAAAACGGGGAAGGGTGCTTAGAATTCACCCTTTTCTCTTGGTTTGGATTTCCTCTGGCTCTCCCCATCCGCCTTTCCATGAGGGAGGCCCGTTGCATGCATCTCTCCCCTGAGTGTCGGTTTGACCCTTTTGTGCTGAGAAGGGGGGGAAACGGAGCCACCGCGGCTCAGAGCCCTCCAGGAAACTGCCCCACTGCACCCACCACGGGGGCCTCTTCCGGGGGCCTTGAAGTGGGGCAGGGCCTTCAGGGGCGAAGGCACCGAGAGGCTGGAGACTCCTGGGATCTCAGAGGGTCCCTGGGGAGCTCCCACCCCACCTTTGCAAGGAAACCAATGAAACTGTCCACTCCCCATTTCAAACTGGGAGCACTCCGCCTTCTTCCCCCTTCAGCAGGACCCTGAGGACGTCTGGTTTGAAACGGAGAAGATCTGGCTGGTTCAGAAGGATCAATTCGCTCTCGGTAGGTTTGGCTTGTGCCGCTGAGGGGCTG